TCCAATATGTTTTCACTAGGAGACCGTTTTTGCCGCTTTAACTTAAAATAATCATTAAATTACCTAACGTTATTTTAATAATTTTTTATTTAAATTCACAACCATTGTAGCATTTGTTCATGCATCTGTCATTATTTAGAGCCCTTCGTATCCTCTGTTGGAGATATTTTTTGCCTGATCACCCCAAATCCCAATAATTAATTTAGGCCATCACTGGTAAGATGATTCTTTGGTGATGATTCTTTGGTAATTAACTTAGGATGCTTAGTAAATTGACAATGTTATGTGAGTTACTTTTTTAAACATCCACAAACATTGTACCATTTTTTCATGTGTTTGTCATTATTTAGAGTTTACAGAATTTTATGTTGAAGATATTTTTACCTGTCCATATCTTGATCACGAATTTCACAAATTCTGGCACTAAATTCAACATTTGTGTGTGTGTGTGGATGTCGTACGAGTTAATTAATTGGGAGGATCTTTCGAAGTCAGAGTGCACCTGTCTGAGAGTTACAGAACCAACAGTCTGCATGCAAATGAGTCTTAACTGTAAAATGGATGCACAGGCAACAGTCAGGTTCTGTCAACAGACTAGGGTCCAGAAGTGGACAAACAGCCAGAACTTTCCCCCGGGGTTTCTAGCCAGTGAACGTGAAGATGAAGAAGATTATATATGCAGTATACACACAATAAGTCATACCATAGAAAAAAACAATTACAGTTTATGTTCAAAATGAGATGTTTTTAGTCATGACAGTTTTCACATTTGCACCTTTTTATGTTTTATGTATCATCTGAAACGTTCTACATTGTTTACCACTTAAGTATTCTCATGAATAGTATGGAGTTGAATGCAATTTTTACCAAAGACATTATTTTGTTTCACTGCATGCTGTTAAAAGTAATGCAATAATAATGCTTAACATTTGAAATATGTAACACTGTACAGTCACATTATTTATAACACATGAAAACTGCTTTAAAATTCTAAGTGCTTACTATGAGTCTGTCATGTTTACTTCTAACATTTCCTTAATCTAGGTTGAGGCCTTCAGACCTTGCACGCAGGCACTGAAAAGCTTGGTAGGCAGACTAGAGGGCTTACTGGACACACAACTTGATGCATTTGGGAATGAGATGATGGACGTGCAGCCTGAACTAAGACACATGGAGGTGGCCACCTCGGATGAGTTTGTGGAGACAGTAAAATGTTTATTGCATAAATTTATTATTGTTCTTGAAAGACAGCTGAAATATTATTTTGATGGGACCATCCCTACTGAGTCACCAGAGTTTATAGAACTAACAGCTTCAGCTCCTACTCATAATATGCATGCTGAGCGGACTCTGGGCTTGATGGATGCCTTAATGAGAAGAGCCCGGCATGCTAACCTATGCTTCAGTTAAGCCAAGACAAAGACTACACAAAATCACACATTGGTTTGGCTAGATTCCCTTCCGAATAATCAGCTGCAGCAATTTGTTGATTTTGCTATGAAACAGGCAATGAGGGTTAGACAGAAAACACGTGAGAGAGAGCAAGCCATTGAGAGGATGGCTGTACATAAAAATTATAAAGCTTGCAGAGATGCTTATGAGAAGGAGCTGAAGGCTGCAGTAGCTCAGATAGGGCTAGTTCCTGCACTGCTACAGTTGAAAATCTCTAATGATTTAGATAGTACGTCCAAAATTCATTTAGAGAGGTTTTTAACTGATAATGCAAGTTTATCAAATGTAATACTGCGACATGTTTGGCATCAAGAGTGCCAGGACTGTGTTTACTTTAAGATGGTTAGGAATGTGGGAACCACACAAACAAAAGATAAATGTAAGAAAGTTATTGATTTGTGGTACTGGAGAGAACATGATGAGCCATTAAGTGACTTTTGTAGTATGAATGTTAAACAGTTTTTAGTTGACTTCGCACAGAGGGATTTATCATTTTTGTAAAATTGTATGTACTTGTGGTCAGTGTTTCTATCGTTCATTAGTATGTCTTACATTAATAAGAAGATTTTTATTATTGGTTTTGATTTATAACAAAAGAGCTGTTGAGCTTACACTGTCTCACGGGCTGGTATTATATGGAAAAGGCATTTCAAAAGTGAGCTTAGTTGCTTTACTGGCAGGTTTAACAAATACTGAAGGTACACCTAATTTTGATATATGGTGTCATTTGTTTTGTGCTGCAACACATCAAATGGTTTTGAGTGTTTATCAATGTATCAGTGAGTTAGCTTATTGTATATTGAATTGGTAACTTTATTTTATATTCATTTTTAGTGTGTGACTTTTTCCTGACTGTTAATCTCTGGGTCACTGCCTCTTTTCATTTTTTACCTGTGTCTGTCTTTCGACTTGTTGCTATCCCCACTGTATGTCCTCTCCTGTGGTATTCCCTGGTTCTGCTGTCTCATGCATTCAATTTGCTCAGATCCCATATAATTTTAAGCTGTCAATGTGTGATTTTCTTTTCACTAAATACAGTCCTCTGTGTGTCGACTGGTCGTGATGCATACCAGTGTAAATGTTTTGCTCTTGAATGCTGGGCAAACATGGATACTACAATAATTTTTTACTTTTTTTTATAACACAATAGCAGTTGTTTTCCGGAGAAGCTGTGGCGAATGTATAATCACATGAAATCCCACAGTATATCAATCATCCATGCTGTCTCCGTTATTAGTGTATGCCTAGACTGATGTCTTATGTACTCCTACACAACAAGAGAGAAGCAGTGATATGTATATGAAAACAACACTGTATAACAATGATCCTTGTTGTACTATTCCACCTGCCAGATGGATGTTTCCATAGTAGCTTTATAGATATAGCAGCAGCATGTGTGAAGCTGTGGTGAATGTATAATCACATTAAAATCTCACGGTATATCAGTCATCCATGCTGTCTCTGTCTGTCTGTCTACATTTTATATGAATCTATCTCAATCTCCATTTTTTTCAAATGAAAGAACATTAGTGCTATTTATTGTTATCCCTCATGTATGCACGTTATCATTCATTTCTCACTGTAGCATCATTACTAGTTGATACTTTTAGGTGCTTCGTGTAGTAAAGACATTCACATTCATACGCTTTCTATGTTAATTTTGTCATAAACATATTGCCAAACTGTCTTTTTTCTTCTGCCTTCTATACCCTAATGGGGCATTAGTCCTCAATCAACTCGCGCTGTCATTATAGTCATTGCTATTACATTTGCTCTTAGTCTTCTTCTTCTTCTTATTGTTCACCAGCTGTACACTATGGCGTAAAGTTCTGGTTGTTCATCCACTTGTGGACTGCAGTCCTGCTCCAGAACCTGAGTGTTTTACAGTTTTACAGATATGATTCAATTGAATGCAGACTGCTGGTTCCTTGCCTCTCAGGCAGATGCACTCCGACTTCAAAGGAAGCTCCCTACTTAGTCGACTCTTACGACATGCTTTTGGGGAGGCAGGGGGTTTATTCTTGTTTTCCCCACAATAGGACCCCGGAACCCACACGAGGGATTTGCCCTTAGTGTCTTCCCTATCTTTTTAACTTCACTTTCTAGCTCCCTTCTTCATGTGTTTTTATGGTCTTTGTATATTTTTATGCCCCTATTGGTTCCAGTACACACCTCATTGGCAGACAACTATAAATGTATACGGTTTTTGCTGAAAGAAAGTCAATTGATGGCCCTTTTTATATGTTAATTAGGTCACGTAAACTGACATTGGCACATTTATATGATCTTTGTGTTCACCTTGTCGGGACGCACAATTTGATATGCATGTCGCCAGGCTCGCTGGTGGATAACCTCACAGGTATAATGTTTTGCTTGAAAATAGTGAGCTGGCATTTTCATATGTTAATTAGGTGCATAATGTATTATATGTTTTTAAAACGGGCATAGACAGTTAGGTCTAACTGTCCTGCTTCCAGCAATATTTGGTTGCTAAGGGATTCGTTCAGAAACAAAAAAGTTATGGCCGTAAAATCAAACATTGAGTCATTTCATCTCACTGGGTCGCAGCCGGAAGCCATGTTTTCTGGATTTTCACTACAATTTTTCTGTCGTGGTGTCCGCCACTAAAATGTTAATATCTCCGCTTAGAATCGACTTACAGGCTTAAATGAGGTACCATTGGATTTGTAATTTTAATTTTTATCTAGCTGTTATAATTTCGTAAGCAAAAACCCAAAAAATAAAACTTCACTACCATCCCTATATATATATATATATATATATATATATATATATATATATATATATATATATATATATATATATATATATATATATATACGCACACACACACATGTATATATTTGTCATTTTGCCAGTCTGTGCGACTATATTCTATGCAGTCATAAAACCTATTCCCTTGTATATCTATACCGCACTCATTGGGTAGTATTTGGCACTCATAAGTAAAACGGCCCTCCCTCCCCCTGCATTGATGTTGCTTAAATTTGGTACCATATAAAGTCGTGTGATACCCAGAAAGGAGGAAAAGGAGACGTATTTGTTTGGGGGAAAGTCCCCGTGTAATAACACTTCAGGATTCTGAAGTTCTGGGGTTCTCTCTCTCTCTCTCTCTCTCTCTCTCTCTCTCTCTCTCTCTCTCTCTCTCTATCTCTCTCTATCTCTCTCTATCTCTCTCTCTCTATCTCTCTCTTTCTCTCTGTCTCTCTCTCTCTCTATCTCTCTCTCTATCACTCTCACTTCCTACCTAGACCTGACTGAGGCTCAACAGGGTTGACTTTTATTAAAATGCTAGTCTATTAGGGGCCTTTTTTTTTGGCTTTTTAGTGGTGATTCTTTCTGCAAATTCATAGACATAAAAACGCGGCATTGCCTCGAGAGATAAAAACGAAGATAGCACGCTTTGTCTGACTAATTTTGACTTTATAAGTTCGTATTCCAAATAAAGATCGTATACCAAGCAAAACAGGATGTATACAAAGGTAACGTGTACCAAAGCAAACGTAAACCCGCTACTACGTACTTACATTCATTAAAGGTCCCATTGGCATCTGTACTAGAAAATTTTCGCCAATCCTGAAAGTGTAGGAAGCTGGTTGAGCGACATTCTGGAATCCCGATTCAATCTTCCAATGGCTGTCATTTCTTGAGTAGATTAGCTCTAGTTTAGATTTGAGAAGTAAGTGTTGCAGATCTTTCGGCAGACCTAAGGAAAGGGAAAAACATTTTTCCTTTTCATTTTCTTTTTTAGAATTGATAAGAGAGAATTTATTTTTGGAACTTGACGATAACAAATATTATCTGTGTATTGAGTCAGCAACCTTATCATCATAGTTACCATTATCATCATTATCATCATTATCCATTTTTTTTTCGGTTCGTGTTGTTCTCCTTCTCCTGCTGGCCTACCCCCCCCCCCCACCCCTTCTTTTCCTCGTTCTTATAGTCTCCTTTTTCTTTCCCCTGCACGTCTTTTTCCGAAATCCTCCTTCATTTAAAAAAAAAAAAACCTTCTTTCCTATCTACAACCGCCTCCCACTTTTACAACACGCCCCCCCCCCCCTCTCCTCTTTCCTTATAGATCAAATGAACCCAACGGAAAGTAAATAACTGTCTATATTCGCAATCGGCATGCAGAGTATCAAACATCCCCATCGTCATCATGCATCCCATCGATAAACGCCATCACACCATTATCAGAACCACAAATAGCGTGATTTGTTTCAGGGTCGTGCCGTCCTATGATATAGATATGGGCCTCACCAGGCGGCACCGTAGGGAGGTGGCATAACAGCGTAATAAAAAAAAAAAATAATGATCACTTATCTTTTACGCGTCAGCACAGTCGATAAGAAGCTCACTTTCAAATCCAGCTGCCGGGGTTCACCCAGCCTCTAGGAAATGGGTACCAGAGTACTCTGGGGTAAATGGAGGAACGTCGCTGTAGCTACAGAGTTACGTGCGAATGGCGACACAGGCGGACAGTTTCTTATCAGCTGTCCGTACTTGTGGCAGAGCACTTATGGTTTATAACCGTGTGCAATTACGCTGGTTCACATCTCCAGACTTTACCTTCAAAACTTTTATGGTGGCATTTCGAAAACTTGTATCACACTGAAAAAAAAAAAAAAAAAGCTACCGCCCGGGACTTAATGCTTTGTCTCATCTCCATTTTGATGATTATAGCGACGATGAATGTTGAAACGCTTTTTGTGTTTCAAGTTTGTAAGGACAATAATCCGAAATACACCCCAGCCGAAAGTAAATGAAATGCAGTGAAAACCCACAGTCACCACAGCAGTCGGGTAATTACCGTAAACGCCCCGTCTCTGTCTTCAGAAGCCAACGCATAACTCCACAACTAATGGAGCCACTTCATAGTCTGATTATGTGTCCCGACTGCATTCTCCATGAACTCTGAGTTTATACCAGAACCTCTTGTAACTTTAATTACATGCAATCTCTAGACTAGTTGTTTTACAGTCTTTATCAAGTGGCGCCCCTTGAATATATTGCAAGACCTACGCGCGCCACCACTACCAACTTTAAAAATAAATGTGATTAAAAGAAGGAGGTAGATCTAAAAACTACCCATGAAAAGATACATGTCCTTGAGTTTTTGTAAGTAAGTAAATTTCCCCCATCAGACAGAGCGATAAACACTCTGTGACACAAAATGTCACCATGCGAATAAGGATCACTCGTGGAGAGGTCCCAGAAACGGCGTTCAACCTTCAGGCTATATTGCGGCCCCCAGTGAAAGCCGGGATGAAAAAAGTTTTTGTTTTATAATAGTGTTTCAAATATTGTATTTATTAGTTTAAAAAATATATATTAGCATAACAAGTATGCAAGTTCACAAGGACTCATTTCAAAACTGTTTGACGCCCTTCCCCTCTGCCCCGCCGCCTTGAAACATCATGAAGCCCACTAGAAAGTGCACCCCATCCCACCTCCCAAACCGGAAACCGCTTCTCTAGACGGTGGTGATTTTTTTGTAGTCTCAAAGAGTGACACCCGTTGACTCAAAGAGCACTTTTCGGATACAATTCCAACAGGAAAAAATCCCACACGCCATGTTCAGCCATCTAGGCAGACAAGAAGTAATCTTCTGTCTTGTGTTTATGAATTGACAGGAACTCTTCGATGCCAAACCAATTTACATTTTATAATATAGCTCAGTGGTCTCCAACATGTTTGTTTTCCGGGTGGCGCCTCCTTTGAGTATGTGCCAAGACCACACACGCCTCCCCTCGAACTTGTTTTTTCCAACATAAAACAAATGTGATTAAAAAGGTGGGAGACCAATAGGAAAATCCCAAATACTGTTAACAAAAACTAGCCGAAAAACACGCACATAATTCAAACTATCAAATAACGAAGGACACAATGACCATCAGTGGTAATTTAGAGTAAAACTATCAATATCCTGTGTAAATGGATAGTTCCTTAACAGGAGCTCTTGTATGCAACAAAAAAAAAAAAAGTGAGTAAAAGGGGAAAGTTTGGTGTACAAACTACCCATGGCAACAAAGTGTCCTTAGATTTTTGTTCTATAAATAGTGTTTTAAACATTGTATTTATTACTTTAAAAAAACATATAATAAATGTTAGTATAACAAGTCTACTTTTGTTATTTGTATTTTGAATTATGTGCATGCTTTTTTTTTGTTTTTTAAGTGTGTGGTCAAAGCATTTGATTTGGTTAGTCAAAACGATATGTTCAACACGCTGAAGATTGGGTGTCCCCACCTACCCTAATGAGCATTACTGAATCGTTCCACACAGTTATGAAAGGTACAGTCAAAGGTAAAATGAACTGCACAATCAACTTTGATAATGTAACATCGGAGGAGTTTGTAATCAACAATGCAGTAAAGCAGGGCTGCTTTTACTCTCTTTGAGATATACTTCTCACTTCTTTAGGGACATGACTTTCAAGGTCAGGAGGGTGGTCTATTCATCCATTCTCGACCTTATGGCAGCCTTTACAATGCTCTTATGCTAAAGGCCAAAACCAGGATAAGAAAGGTATTTATCAGCCAGCAGATGATGCAACAATAACAAGCCACACAGAGGAGGATCTGCAATGTTTACTGTCTGCACGTGTTGATGCATCCTGTGAATTTGGACTAACAGTCAACAAAAAGAAGAAAGACAAAGATTATAGTGTTAGGTTTAAATGACAGACCTGCAGTTTACATTGACGCCGAAGAGCTAAAGACATAATTTAGACCATGTTACCTACCTTGGATCCACAGCGACTAACAAATTATGGCTGGAAAAAAATCAATACTAGGACAGGTAAGGCAGCAACAACAATGAGCAGATTAACAAAATGAGTTGTGTGTAACAGAAAGCTTACGATTAAAACAAAAACCCCGTCTATCAGGCTTGTGTTTTCAGCACTCTGCTTAATTGCAGTGAAACTTGGTCAACTTATTCGCATCAGGAGAAATGGCCAAATGACTTTCACATGCGATGCCTAAGAAGAATAAATGACATTAAGTAGCAGTTAAAGGTCTCAAACACTGAGGTACTGGGAAAAGCAGTACTAGAACAGTCTTCTCAATGCTGTTTACGAAGGCTCAGATGACTGGATCACATATGTAGAATAAAGGACGGCAGAGTCCCTAAGGACATCCTCTATGGTGAATCAAAGATGGGTACCTATGTCGAAACCGATCTCAACTACAGTATGAAGTTGTGTGCAAGCGGGACATGAATGATACAGGTGGACTCCAGCGAACAAAATGCCATGGACCGTTTTGTATGGAGGGGGCACCTCAGGAAAGGAATAAGAGTAAAAAAAGAAATGATTGTAGAAAGGATGAGAGCTGAGTGTGCGAGAAAAGGATCAAAGGTAGAGAGGTCCTGAAATCCCATGCTGTAATTGTTGAAGACTTGGCTTAATGCGGACTTATCTTGCTAGTCACACTGGAGATCGCCATGGGCTGTGAGTCCCTGCCTCCCAATTGCGCAATATAACACCATTGTCTGGAAAGACGGAACGGTGCCAGTTAAATCTTCATCAATGCGATGATTGACACTGTTTTGTCTTGATGACATCCGCTACTTGTGTTCTGATGTTGGAGAAGAAACAATTGAGATCACTCTCCACTTCAGACTGTTTTTGTTCCCCTCACTATGACACATGAAAATCCGCATTGTCACATATACAAAAGCACTCGATTTCAAAATTGCTTAACGCTCTCTTGAAACTTCCTCATGCCGCCTGAGAAAAAAAAAAAGGAAGGGGGAGGGGGGAGGGTGAGTGCACTCTTGTTAGAGACAACTGGCATAGATAATCAAATCACTGGTCTCATATTGTCGTGAATCAACTGAGCTTCCATTTCCGCTCCACGCCCTGAACTCTTTCCCCGGTGCCATGGACAAGTTTGTTAAATGTCCCATATAGCACCGAGCAAACCAACCCTGGTATTAGTTGGGTAGTTTGTTGAGCAGTTTTACATTTAGCAATTTGCCATCGTCTTCTGTAAGTCAAAATAAAAAAAGTACAGATCCCTTTTCACGCCTTTAGGCGCATCGGGCATATGGGAAGAGCACCCAAATGTTTACAGACTAATCGGCACTCGGTGGGTAATGTGGTCAGCATTACGCCGGCCGTCTTTACTTCCCCAGGACAGCCATCCTGGTACCCATTTGAGACTGGGTCGACCTGCGACGTCCCATACCACGATACAAATCCACGCAGCCCACAGTGGGTTTCGATCGCGGTACGTTGGATTACGAGTCAGACTCGCAACGCCTTAACCACGGATGCCGCATCGTCTTCTGAAGGGTTCAATAATCATAACATTTTCGAAGTCAAAGCAATGCGGTCTACTGCAAAATCTCCTGCCGCTACTTGACATTCAGTATGCCGGAATTATGAATCTATACTCAAAATCCCAAAGCCACAGACGCCGACATTTTACCTGATGCGCTCGCGCACGTGCGTGTGTGTAAATAAACAAATAATTTAAACTATACCGGTATAACCACTTACCCGTAGCATCGAGAAACGCCTTGAATCCATCACAACTGACCTCCGTCCATCTGCCAATAAACGGCTCCAGCAACCGCTCGTCCTGGCTTCCACTGACCGACTGAGACCGGACATGGCTGCGGTCGGTGGCGATGTGTCGTCGCCATACTGCTAGCATTTGAACCATGCTTGGAGTCCGCAGTTTGAGGGCAGACATCAGTGGCTTTGCTGATGTAATGGCAACTCTTGAGACGATCATGGAATCCGAGAGAATTGTCAGTCCAGCTGTTGAGAAAAAGATATCAAAATCAATATAATTTTACAGGTTGTTTATGTAAGGAGAGCTTCCATCTGGCACCCGTGTCTTTTTTTTACAAAAGCATGACAGCCACACGAACATGTATGTTAGAATTAAACAAAACATTCATTTTAATTGAATAATGCACCATGGCTAGTCATTAAAAAAAAATCGCCATGGCATTCAGACGAGTATAATAACATTGCTTAAGTGGGCGGCGAAAGCAACCCGCAAAGGGGAAAAAGGGATTGTAGTTGCTCACCGAACCAAATCTTTACCAAATGACTCAGAAAACATGTCGAAAGCTGCCTGAAAGGGGTAAAACTGGACTAATTTTTACTGAACCACGTCTCTACCAACTGACTCAGAAAGAAGTTCGAGGAAGATGAGAACAGACATGCTTCGTGCAGAGTTTCATGCTTTTGCTTCAGAGGTCATGGATGAAGAGCATACTTGGGATATTTTCTCCGGGTTTGCCAGTGTGTTGGGAAATGAACAGGTGGAGATACTGGCTGGCTCTGCACAAATTGGTGGAATACTGATGAATAGTAATAGGGACGTGTTTAAGACCTTATAGCAGCGGCTCTCAACCTAGGGGTTACGCGCCTTTCTTGGGTCGACAGACCCTTTCACAAGGGTCGCCTACGACCATCGGAAAGCATATATTCATTGAAGTTATAAAGGAAAGTAAAAGTTTGGGGGTCGCCACAACATGAGGGAACTGTATTAAAGAGTCGTGGCATTAGAAAGATTCCGAGCCACTCCCTTATGGAATCAAGTGTACAATTCGGACAGACGTATTGGGATCTGCGAATACTCGATGCTGAAAGGAAAGGCAAGGTGTTCGTATAATCAGAATGATACTGGTACCATTGGTATTAGAGCTCTGCGCTTGCTGCTAAACGTGGGGTCGGAGGGATTATGGGAATGCTTTAAGTGCTGTGATGTCAATCAGTTTCACTTCGAAGGTAACTGCTTGAGAAAAAATCATCATATTCAACCCCGACTGGGAAGGTTTAGGTTATAGCTGTGACTAGGTTGTGTGCGTCATACAAAATGACGAAGCATTGGACGCTACCAATAGCTATAAAAAGATAAAAGGAGAGAGACGCAAATACTGTCCTGACGAAGTCGTCTACCGGCGAACCATTGGAAGACCCGATCGCCGATGTGTAATTTAACTCAACGCCAAGTGTTTGCTGTGTTCGTCAGGTCCGCATCGGCGTGAAATCGCTGCCCTTGAAAGTAATTTTTAGAGGTATTCTCTATTAAAGGAAAAGTAGGGTGCCTTCTCCCCTCGCCCCCCCCCCAATCCCTTCCCCATTCCCTACCCAACCCACCCAAGCAAGGTAAATAGAAACTATTAAACCGGCACTCCTTTGATTCATTCCCCAAAATGGCGGCATGCCACATTCTGGCCATAAAATAGCCAAAAATATCCGAACGACGGTGTTCCCGTATATCTAAAATACGGACTGTCTGCCGAGGGACAAATCACGGCAAAACTAGGATTACTTGACAATCACTATCAACATTGCACACGGTACTAGTAGCAGACGATAAATACCGACCGTTGACAAAAATTTCGAGCGTTCTGCAGACGATATTAGCGACCGTTGACCAATTTCGAGACATTACAGACGATGAAAACGATTAGCAATACTGTGTTCTTCCGATTGGAGGATTTAGCAGCGGTAGATGTCAGACTTGTCGGCATGCGCCAAACGCGATTAAACTCATCGCCGAGCGTATCTAGGTGCCTGGGACTCACGAGTACAGTAATTGGAGGAAGTTGCAGGAGATGCGGTAGCTGCCACTCGTGAGTCCCAGCCATCTATATTAGCCCCCATCCGCGCCACGCGTAGCGGCGCGGGGGATACGTTCGGCGGTGAGGCACACTCGCAGAAGCAGGTCGGCAAGCACCGTATCGCCGAGACCCTGTCAGAGCATTTGTTTCGTTATCCGGAGCCGGCACATATATTTTTAATAGAACTGACCCGCATTCGGATATTTTTAGATATTTTATGGCAAGAAATTGGCCAATTTAGCTCTCTTTCGAACGCCATCATATTAAAGACGCCATTTTGGGGAACTATTCAAAGAAGAGCCATTAAACCAGATGTCCGTGGCTTAGGCGCTGCGAGTCCGACTCGTATTTCCAACGTACTGTGATCGAAACCCACTGCTGGCTGCGTGGTTTTTATCGTGGTATGGGGCGTTGCAACCTAAATTGAGTATCAGGATGGCTGTCCTGGGGAAGTGAAGACAGCCGGTGTAAATGCTGACCACATTACCTCTCCAGTGCGGATAGGTCTGTAAAAATATGGGACGCTCTTCCCAGATGCCCGATGCGCCTGAGGCGTGAAAAGAGATCTTTACTTTTTACTTATAGTTGGAGAAATAGGTACATAGGGTTTCAATTTAGAATTATGGTGTTACATATGCTGCGCTGAGGAATTAGCGATGTGTGTGAGTGTGTGTGTGTGTTGTAAATCGTGGGTCCTAATAATTACCAATAACTATCATGTATGAAACTACAAGATTTGTAACTAAAAGAAACCCAATCTAGCAGACAGAAAAACAGTAAGAACAAATCATTTCCGGCCAATCAAATCGGAGATACGGAAAATGCTTAACGAAACACAAGTTCAAGCAAGATGGCGGAAAAGTGGTACGACATTACCACAATTTCAAACAAGATGGCAGAAAGCCGATCTCTCTATCAACTATCTATGAATTTTAAACTGGTGATGTTTAGCGATTTGGAGAAAATGTAAATAAATTTAAATGTTTTGGATTTTGTTTAAAAAGTGAGATATCTTACGATGATGTTTTGATATATAAAACAGATATATTTGTTAAAAAGAGATTACTCTCTGTAGGACGACATAACACATTAACAAACGGCACCAACTGTATTTACACATATACAAATACTTACAATACGGAACAGGCATACACTATACCACACTATACATTTGCCATTAGGAAAAAAAAAAGAAAGAAGAGGAAAAGCCAAAGTTTTCAGTTTAAAAAAAAAGAGAAACGAAGAAAAGAGAGATACCTATAATTAAGTTTTTGCTTTCTCACGATTGTAATTTTGATATATGTATGTATGTATGTATGATTATTGATTTATAAACATGCGTGAATTTTGCAAAATATACGCAATACGTACAAAAGGCAACATGTGTAAACAGACGTACACTTACTTACAACGCAACACATGCAAACTATATACTGCACACACACGTTTGTATTTTGAAAAAAAAAAAAAATGAATCAAAAGAAAAAGTACAAAAAAAAAATACATACGATTGCCGGCGGTTTGCAGAGAAAAAAAAAAAAAGAGAGAGAGAGAGAGAGAGAGAGAAGAAAAGAAATTAAAAAAAAAGAAATTACAGTTTGTACCGAAAAAAAATAATCAAAAAAAAAAAAAAAAAAAGTAAACAAACAATTAATGCCATTAAATAATACGTTCCGTTCAAAATAAAAAAAAAAAAAAAATAATTACCAGTATGGTCAGCGCCAAGAAGAAAAGCAATGGTAAATTATCTTCTAAAAGATGTTAAGAATAATCTTGGTGTCACAAGAGATAAATACCGAGATATGCTACCCTCTAAATGGGGCGAGACAAGAACACTTGCTGATTCTGGTGATTATGTGAGGTGGCGAAACATGACAGCCTACGTTTATTAGCACTATATATCGGGGTAATTATTTAAAGGCTAATCTTCTCAGATAATTGAAAATCGTTACTATTAGACTGTGTTTGACAATGGAAGCTCCCAGTGTGGGTGCTGGGACCATATTATAGGGGGGAAGGGGAATAGACCCACTGCCTACCCAAAAGCATGTCGTAAGAGTCGACTAATTGGGAGCTTCCTTCGAAGTCGAAATGCATCTGCCTGAGAGCCAAGGAACCGGCAGTCTGCATAAAAATAAGTCAGCTGTAAAACGGATGCACACGTTACACTTAGGTTCTAGATCAGGACTGCAGTCCAAAAGTGGATGAACAACCAAAACTTTCCGCAAGAGTTTACAGCTGGTGAACGCGAAGAAGAAGAAGACAAGTGCAATTAAGTGTGGGAACAACTTTGCAGGATATTCACAGAGGCAGCAACAGTAACAACGAATCTAAAATGTGATAAGCCCTTTGGCATTTAGTAGTAGCTTTGCTGCTTAGTTTCATGTAATATATTAGTCGCTTTGCTGTGTAGATTTATGTGACTATTAGTCGCTTTGCTGGGTAGGTTTTTGTGATTTATTAGTTGCTTTGCTGTGTACGTTTATGTGATTTATTGTCGCTTTGCTGTGTAGGTTTGTGATTTGTTGTAGCTTTGCTGTGTAGGTTTATGTAATTTATTAGTCGCTTTGCTGTGTAGGTTTATGTGATTTATTAGTTGCTTTGATGTGTACGTTTATGTGATTTATTTTCGCTTTGCTGTGTAGGTTTGTGATTTATTGTAGCTTAGCTGTGTAGGTTTATGTGATTTATTAGTCGCTTTGCTGTGTGGGTTCATGTGATTTAGTGTAGCTTTGCTGTGTAGGTTTATGTGATTTATTAGGCGCATTGCTGTGTAGTTTTATATGATTTATTAGTCTCTTTGCTATGTAGGTTTATGTGATTTATTGTCGCTTTGCTGTGTGGGTTAATGTGATTTATTGTCGCTTTGCTGTGTGGGTTAATGTGATTTATTGTCGCTTTGCTGTGTAAGTCAATGTGATTTATTGTCGCTTAGATGTGTACGTTAAAGTGATTTATTGTCGCTTTGCTGTGTAGGTTTATGTGATATATTGTCGCTTTGCTGTGTAGGTGTATGTGATTTATTGTCGCTTTGTTGTGAAGGTTTATGTGATTTCTTAGTCGCTTTGCTGTGTAGGTTTATGCGATTTATTGGTCGCTTTGCTGCGTAGACGGGTACAGTTTCGGAAATTTGCTATCTTTTCGACAATTTCCG